GAAACAATGTCTGATAACCTTTTTAAAATCACAGATGGCTCTATTCCATAATCCAGACCTATCTCACTGATGCTTAAAACATCAAAGATGGAAGTTTCCAGAATGGAGGCAGAGACCAACCAAATGATTAACCTACTATCCCTTTTATTTACTGTCAGTGGTAGTGACAGTGCTTTTACTCATGTTTTTCCATCTGTAGAATAAGCCTGCTGCTACTGTCTCCCCCCTGCTCCCCCTGCAACCAGAACCCTCACCGTTTCCTGGGCTTACTTGTAAGATTTAACTCAAGTCTCACCTTTTCTGACATTCCCACCCTCAGTCACCCAGGTTGAGCTACTAGTACCTCTTTTTTCTGTTATTCCCTTGTGTTCCCAGAAGACTTCTGTAATACTGTTTTTATTGGTTTTACCATATTCCACCATAATCATTCATTTCCTTGGCTGTCTCCTTCACTAGACAGTGAGCTACTGGAACAGCCAGCGCTGTCCATCCCTACTGTATCCCCAGATCCTTGGGACTTCACAGGAGATACCCAAGAAACATCTGCATGCCAAGGAACAAAAGGACTGGAAGCGCACAGTGTTGTCTGGAGGGACATGAGATTCCTCCCTGTGAGAAAGAGAAAGATCCTCAGTGTACAAGGCACCACCTTATAACCCCTGAGGTACTTACGCCAGCAAACCTGTTCACAATTCGTCCTATGGGTGTTGTGTCAAAAAAGCTCATGGGTGCTCGAAGGATATTGTTCAGTAGTTGCTTGTGCAAGATGTTTGATGCATGGGTGAAACTGTAGGCACTACAGAGGTTTGCGACAAGCATACATATACCTGGAAGTGGAACCAATTTTGTCAATACCATGCACAGAGACCCTGAGGGCTTGTGCCCAGGACATAATGGCAAAGGTTTTCCTGAGTTCAGGAAAAGTACAAAGTCCAGACAAATTCCATAAGAGATGGCTGTCGTAGCCATCAGACATACCTTGTGCTAACCCCAGAGCTCCATAGACCCCAAGTCTCATATTCCTCTGAGAGGCTGGATAGTCAGTACTGTTGAAGATTTTAGAGTCACTGGTCCAGGCACTGAGCCAGAGATTGGATCCAATTAAAGACACAGAATTCATCACGAAGGCAAAGATGATGAAAGATACTGAATACCATCCTATTGCTCGTAGGTATCTCAGGTAGACAGAAAACTTCACCTGCAAAGCCCCCAACTCAATATTAGAACTCTCTAATGGCTTTTGATGAGAAATTACCTAGAACACCAATCACAAGGACTCGAGTCCCTTGAAAAGTGGGTAGCAGATAGCAAAATTTGGTAGGCTCTGGTCACTGTTTCTGGACTGTGTCATGATAATAGATCAATGCTGAAAAACAATGCAGGGTCCATAGCCATTGGGTTATTATTATGATCTTACAGAGGCAAAGGAGAAGATTTAAAAATGGAATGGAGCAGATGGAGTTACACTGCAGTTCTTGAAGTCGTGGCTTTAAGTTTTATTAATTTGAATTGTGTCCTCTGGGTGGGACATATTAGTGTTCCCTGGTTCCCAGAATTGCATCTCAAAACAATTAATTGTTCTCCACACATCAAGATGGAATCAAACACTCATGAGTGTGGGATGAGGATATTCACAGGACACATGCCATTCTTCCTGAAATACAATTTGATAGAAAGCCCGCAGCCCCGACTAACATTTTAATAATGAATTTGAAGATGTGCAATGGACATAGGGCATATTGCTCCTGCAGACATGTATTCAAGTTTCATCTAAATTTTTTAGATTCCAAGCCTCATATCACTTCAAATGGTA